GTTACTGTATTTAGATATTTGCATGGCTGTTAGCTTTTATCTGGGTTTTTAGTTTATCCTGTAGTTTAAACGTTGATATTGCATATTATGGTTGAATTGTAAAGTGTCTAGAAAGCTGCACTTATTGGGTGGGATAGGTATGTAATAAAGAAATAAATGAAAATAGAAGTGGAGTGATTTCTGAAAATGCAGAGTACCCTGGGACTGTGTAATCATGTTTTCCAAACCAAGTGTGCCAAGGTATTTTGGACTACAACTTCCATTGGTCTTGCTTCCTGAGACTGATAGGAAATGAAATCCAAGAACTAGAAGGTCACCAGCTTGTGCAAGGCTGGTGTAGAAGGCTGTAAACTGTTTTTAAAAGCTTTAGTAAGTTCTTCAAGTTCACAGTTACTTTCTAATATTTATACTCACTGGGAGAGAACTTCCAATTCTCAAAGATTCTTTCTTTTTGTGTTATAAATCTAGTAAGATTGAAATTTGACGTGGGAGAGCACCACAAAAGGAAAGGGGCTTGTTAACCTTTCTATTTGTGAAATATTCCTGCTGAAAATCACTTTCCACAAGTTGCTTTTACCCCTGCTGGAGAAGAGATATGAGTGTCTGTATGTTTTCACTTGTGGAGGTAAAGTAATTAGGAAATGATTTTCAGCAGCAATATGACAAGGAGAAAGTTAAGCAAGTTTTCTCCCTTCACACCAGGGCCTCTTATCAAACAACAGGCTGCAAATCTTGATAAACTTGCCTGGCTTAAGTTCCATTGAACATAATTCCAGGTGGACATGTTTAGGGTTGCAATTTCAGTGTGTGTATTTTGTAAAACAGACATAGTGTGAAACAGCTGGTTAGAATAGCAGATGCTGTACAGGATGCTATTTTCCAGTCCCTAATTTCTATCTCTATATTTCTTTTAAAAAAGGAGAAGACAGGCCATGGTACAGGTGCCATTTTGACTTTTTGTTTTAGGAGCATGTATGTCAATGGTCATCAGTGAGCACACAAAATTATAAATGAGTTAATTCTTCAAGTCAGCAGGACTGCAGTTTTTAGATTTTAGCAATGGTGGCAACAAGTAGGGGAAAATGTTCAGTATGTCCAGAGGGTCAGTCTTAACAAGCAGGTATATCTTAAGAGTGTTTATTGTGATGTTTTTATTTTGTTATTTACAGTAACTAGCAATACCTCCAATAGAGGACAGTCACAATAAGTCTTTTGCCTTTAGTACAGAGGTCATCCAGCTACGAGTATTAATTTAAGTAGATACTCATTGTTTAGGATTGCACAGAGAAGAGAGAATAGAAATGTGGATTTCCATTTGCTCTTTCAGGAATTTGAAGGGTGCAATCTGCATGTGTGTGCATAAGGAGTGAGGATACAGAAGTATATCTAATACAAATATACTTGCTTTATAACAAATTCTTCTATAATATATTTTTCTACTCATTAATTTTTGTTAAGTGTTTCCTAAACTGTTGCCATATAGTATAAAGCATATTTATCTATAAACATTTAATGCTTGTTTACCTAAGCATCCTGATCAACATTGAAGTTTGAATATGTAAACAAATATGAAATAGCATATATTTCAAAAGAAAGAAAAGGTGTTTCCAGTGCAGTGCACTCTTAACTGAGTAGCTTTTCAGAATGGTCACTTGAGGAATTACCCGAAGCCTGTTTATGAAATTGAGGTGAAGTCTTTCCAGACTAATTATATTCAGCATGTAATTTCTAAACTTCACTCTGAATTTTGATTTTCAATTAACATTCCCAATTTGAAGATAATTTTCTATTTAATGTAATTGCAGGAAATAATTTATTGGCTGATTAAGACCAAGGGCCCAGCTTTCCTTAAGAAAACACTCCCTAACAAACCAGCCTTTAAAAGCCATCTCATAGCTTTGGACAGATTTAACCTATTTTCACAGCTGCACAGTTGCATTTAATTAGGATTGTGCACTGTTATTCATCGGTGCAGTTTGTAGTTGGAATTATTCTTAAGAGACGTTTTCATTTCTGGGTTTGTGTCATGATTAATTTAAACTGAAAAAAGCGGTCAAAGCTTATTCCTTCTGGAAGAAGTCAGCCCTGTTTGTAATTGGAAGATGTCTTCTAATGCTCAAGTGAATAGAATTCTCTTCCAAAGAACTGTTTTAAATGCACCGTTGCCTTAAAACCACTGGAGATGTATTCACAATGTGCTGTAATCTGAAGAGTGTATATATATAGCTTTCATATTTAAAATAAGGTGTTAAGTCTTGCACCCTGCTTCCAAATATTTGTATGACCTATCCCTTCTGCAGTGCCTTCTTGCTGCAGTGCTAACATAAGGTTAGACTATGCTGAAGTATTCCAGCATTTGGAAGATAGGACTTAACTATTAGGAATCATTCATTTTGGAAAGCACAAGATATGCAGGAATTGAATGCATTAGCTTTTTATAAAATAAGTAACTTGGATCACATTTGCATCAAATGTGTACAGATCACATTTACATCAAACTAATACTAGTCACTGATAATTCAATGGTTTGCTCTTGTTCCAGAGAGCCTATATTATTTGTGCATATGTGTGTGTGTGTATGGCTGAAAAGGTATCACCAGCTGTATATGTTTCAAACTACTCAAAGAAGCTTGTAATAGTTATATTTTAAAATGTGTATAATTAGATTATCCGATCCTATTTTTTCTATTATAGGACACTAAATGAGAATATTCTAATTAATTGTGAGAAATTTAGCATTAGCTGTTAAATCCTATGTGAAACTTGGCCTGCTATATTCAAACCTACTGTTTAAATTGGAATTAACTTAATTATTTTTTCTTTACACTTGATATTTCCTTCACTGTAATATTCATGAAAGCATGTGTCAGATCTGTAAATTTAACTGTTAGTCTCAGATTTCCAGGCTCTTTAATCAGTAATTATTTGTCTATAGAAACAGTACTACTGAGTTAATCATTTGCTAATTTGGAAAATGCTCATGTGGTTTCCTCTGTTAACTGATTTGTGCATTTTTAAGGAAATTGTATGAAATCAATTATTATTAAAGAGTAATTAAGATGGAGACCTAATTCCTGAATTATTGATGTAGCTTGGCAATAAAGATACTATAAATTTTCTAAAATTTCAAGGTATTTTATTCAACAGTTCCTTGAAAGGCTTTATGTGATTGTTTTGTTTTGTTTTCTACTGTATCTAAATAATTTATTCTTAATGAACATTACCATGATTTTGCTTCTATGCAGTAAAATAAAAAAGGAAAAATAAAGATTCTATGTATGACAGAAAGACAAGAAGACTTATCTTCAAGACAAGAAGACATGAATGCTTATCTTCCTTTGCCATGTCTGGATGCTTGATTGTATAGAAAATTATTTGCACCTTGTATTAAATGCATGATATGAAAGTGAAAACTATTTCAGACACTTACTTTAAACTGCAAAGGACTACTGTAGTTACATGTCATTCATTCACTGAGCCAGTTAGCATTATATTATTCTGCTTGTTATTTCACAACTTCTTTCAACAGGTCTATTAGCTACAGATAAAACACTTTAATTGTAGCAATCTTATACAGTCTACTAAAAAGTAATCCCCATAGAGTTCAATGAGGCTTTTTCCAAGTAAGTGAATATAGGTTTGTAGCATAAGCAATAATAGCTTTTAAAACAAATAAATCATAAGTCTTGTAGTGTATAAATTTTATTTTGCAAGGGAAAACATCATATAATTACCAAGTGAACACAGAATATTTATTTTGCAAATACTCAGATGATTCTTGTGTGCCCACTAAAATCAAGAAAACACAGAGGAACAAAGTTTGGAGTAGAAGGATATGAGAAATATACTTTTTGTTATTAAAATATAATTATACTGGACACACACAACTTACAGTCTTCTGGATTTGTGTCACACAGGGCTTACTTGCTTTGATCTGATGCCTGAATTTAATCCAAATCTGACAAATTCTTGTTTTTATAATTAGCTTCTAAACTAAGGGTGCTATGCTATGTAAAGTTAAACAGGAAAAAGACCTGCAACTCCCAGCATGAGCCAGAGTACTCTGGTTCAACTGTATGCAGCAAATATGAGGGTCACTGTAATGGCAAGCAGTTTCTGTATCGAGGCTTAGAAATATAATAAGACATTTTTGTTTTCAATACAGAGACAAGCAGAGATATTTAATGCATATCTTTATCATTGATTCTTCCCATTTCAACTGTATTTCAGAATCCTTGCACTTTGGATTACACTATAAAATGGAAACATATTTCATCCACTTACAGCCAGTCTGATAAGAGTTTATGCATAAGAAAGAGCCATTAAATTCAGAACACCAGAAAGAATGTTTATTGTATGAATTCAGTAATCAAACTGTTTTTCTTTGATAGTGCTCCCCATTTCCCATCCACTGCCCCCTCTTTAAAAAACCGCTTCATTAAGTTCAAGCTATAATGGTAAATTAGCTGTGGGGAAGCTATATTTACATATATCTGTAGAATCAGACTTTAAAGATGTACCTGACAGCAAGGTTATCTTTTTTCTTACTGACTTAAAAGTACATGCTGGATACCCTAAGTCAGTTGTTGGCAATCACTTTGTAAGATGACTGGATCTCTTTTTGGCTATATAAATTACCGTTATGGCCCATCTACTCCAGAGGGGAATGCAGGGGGTGAAGAGTTGTAAAACTTACACCCAAGCTCAGATGCTGATCCTGGCTGGGTCCACTCCATTTAGTTTTGCATGAAAAGAGAGAGAGAGAGAGAGAGAGCGCTTCTAGTTATGTCTTTAGCAAGACTAAGTCCCACTGAAGACAGTAGTCTTACTTTTGAGTGAATGTATGCAAGAATGGTTCTATAACTCATCAAATGTACTTCAAGCAAAAATATGCTCCCTATGTGCATGCTTTTTGGATTTTTTTCTTTGCTGTACTGATGCTATAATTGTTTAATAAAAAGCATCTGTCCCCCTCCCCCTTTTTTTTTTTTAATTTGTAGAAGAATGTCTTCCAAGCAGGCCACCTCTCCATTTGCAGCTGATGGAGAGGAAGCAACGACCCAGGACTTAGCATCCCAGGAGCAGGAAGGCGGCAACAATGAAGAGCTTGTGGCTTCCCATCTGCCTCTGCACACCATATTGCACAACAAACCTCATTCTGAGGAGCTACCAACTCTAGTTACTACAGGCCAACAAGACGCTGACTGGAATAGTGTTATCTCAACTCAGCATCGAATGGTATGTGTTAAAACAGTGACAGCTCTTCAGAGTGCGGTTCAGTGCAGCTCTTCATAATAATGCTTTTTAATTATAAGAAGTCACAATAAGTTGGCCTGGACATAAGCTTAAACACATAGGGTGGTTACAGCTTCCAGTGTCTCCGGGTTTTATAAAAACACCTCCCTTTCTTTGTTTGGAACAAAATGGCAGCTATGACAAGACCAGAAGGTCAAATTTAGCTTGTTTGCTTTGAACTTTTCAGCACTCTATAGCTGCACATCTTTTTAAAAAAATAGCTTGGTACTTGAGGAGAGAGCAGGGGGCAAAAAGAATCTGGAGCTCCTGGAGTTGTCCACTCATGTGTTAAACTAGAATTAAACAAAGTCTCCTTCAGTCTTGCCCATACCCCATCTTCCTCTGGAAAAAGTGTAGCTGTTCGTTTGTTTCTATAATCAACTATACTCTGCCCATTAGTGTACCACAGCTACACCACACAGTTCAAATAATACGGCATTTAAAATAAATATATAAAAAGTTTAAAAAGTCAAGTTTATCAAACAATTATAAACCAGCGTCCAGTCAGTAAAACAAAAAACTATGTTAAAATAATCCAACAGCAACAAAAAAAGCAAAGCATTATTGTAATTTGCAGAACTGAAACTCAGGAAAAGACAAGTTGAGTTTTGCAACCCCCTAAAATATTTAGAGTTGATATCATGAATACGTTAGTGAACAAAGAGTACAAGGAAGACATTGTATGTTCCCATTTCCAGTTAGTTTCATCACAGTTTAGCTTGACATTTATGTTTTATGGTTTCAGGACCCTAACCCTGAAATGCCTGATTCTGCCTAATCTTGGATTCTAAGCAGGGTTGGGCTGGGTTGAAATCTGGATGGGTCACTTGAGTCCTCTGTTTAGCAGGTGGTTGGACCTGATGGCCTGCTAAGCTCCTTCCAACTGTATGGCTCTATGATTCAATGAATCTGACTTGTTTTAATTATCCATTGTTAAAATTAACTACAATTTAGACTTCAGGAAACATGTTAAAGTGTGCTCGATCTGAAGTTTGATTGAGCTTTGCCAGGGAAGGAGGAAGAGTATGTGGACCCAGGGAAGCTACGGACTTTCTCAAAATGAAAAAACATGGTTTAATGTTATGTTTGAAAGCAGCTAGTGAGTAAGAGATCCTTGTCAGCAAGTTCAACAATTTCTCTTCCTGCTGATAAGTATACAGATCTCTCAGAGTTAGGTCATATGATTTATTCACCTTCAGAAAGGAAGTACCAAAGTACTGCTATAAAAGTTTTTTTTTTTCCATTTCTCAGTTTAAACCGTAGTATTGTTTGCTTAATTAATATCATATTATGCTTCCAGTCATGATGTCTCTGTAACTAATTCATCAAGCCGATGTGGCTGCATACACACACGTACACAAATTTTGTTCCTGCTCACAAAATATTTCAATAAGCCCTGCTCACACCCACAAGTGCAAGCGTGTGTGGATTTTCAGAAAACATGTTGGTTTGTTTCTGAATCTCTAAGTCAACTAGAAAAATCTGCATTTCACACTTTATGGGAAAGAGCACACATCTTGGGTATGCATATAAAAATGCACATTTCCCCCAATTGCAACATGAATGTAGAAAACTGAGCGTAAAGAAGCAATTCAGGAAAGTTTGACAAGTTTGAACATTGTATGTTTACCCATTCTTAGCTGCATTCTTCAGGGAACTAAACAGTCATATATGGTTCTATGGTTTTCCTTTTTTTATAATACATTTTCAAGTGCAGTAAAGCTCAATCCATTTTGTATAGCAGGAAATCTTATTGTTTTGACCCCTCAAGCATGTGGTATAAGGATTTACTCAGTGACAGTCTCTGAATGGTAGAGGAGCTCCCTTTGTACATGCTATCATGCAGTTTATACATAATATGGACATTCTTCATTTTAGTTTTTTAGTGTTCAGCTGTAGAGCCTTCACTTAGTTATACTAATATTGAAAAAATGTACTCCCCATCCCCTGCAAATACTATCATATTGTCCAAGTAGTTTTGCACATTGATCTTAAAGGTCCAGAAGATCTAACAGAGACACAAAATATAATACGTATGTTGAACACTGGCAAGTGTCATCTACATACAGACAGTATAATGATAGATTAAGATTACTGCCGTATAGGGCAGTCTTCACTCTAGCACCATCCAGGAATTTTGGATTATAGATTCCGACATTCTGACTATTGGCCATGCTGGCTTTAGCTATTGAATGTTAAGCTCCAAAACATCTGGATGGGCACGATTTTGGGGAAGACTAATCTAACGGCTTCTTGCATTTTCATGCGTAGAACTTCTGCATTATGACTCCTTCCTTTGCCATGAAAGTAACAAGATATACCTTAGCCAGTGCAAGTATACAATCTAGCAGCATTGTCTTTTCAGGAAACAGAAGGGGGAATGTGTGAGAACTTTGATGTGGAAAAGGTCATAGAATCATAGAGTGGGAAGCATCCTTAGAGGCCAGCATGTCCAGTCCCCTGTTGATGCAGGAAATCCACTACTTCAATATCCTTGAAAGGTGGTCCTTCAGCCTCTGTTTTAAAGCCTCTAATGTGAGTCCACCACCTTTCAAGACAAACCATTCTTCCCTGTCAAACCATGCCATCAGGAAGTTCTTCCAAAAGCTTAGTCTAAATTCTTTTCCTTGTATGTTGAGCCCATTAAGTGACTAAAATGTAACACTATCTGTAGTCAAAATGTAGGTCTCATGGCAAAACTTCAATTTCTGTGAGAAATTTATGTGTTTCACACTAGAAAAAAGAGAACTATTACACTGGTTAACTATTTTTGAATATAGTATAAGCCAATCCGGTAACATCCCTTTGGAATGTGAAGCACAGAAAAAAATCTAGCTGTACCCAGGGCTGCCAGTGGCTGCTAACATTGTTGGCTATGTGCTGCTTTTGCTTTCAGAGAGGGTATGTCTGCTTTGGTTTACTTGGTTGTTATACAGAATTCAATTCAGAAAAGTTGCTATATTGAATCCAGTTAAGAGAGAAAAAAATGGGCGGGGGCACATTCCAGTGTAGGTGGAGCAAAAATCAAGTCAACATGCCAAAAATATCAGGTTATTTTAGATTACAGTTCTTTGTATCAGAAACTAAACTTTAGCAGAGTACCCATTTAAAGATGTGGGGAATCAGACACACAAAAGCTTGAGAACCACCAAATGATTGGTGGGCAGGGGAGGAGCAGGAGGAACCACCTAGCGCTGTGGCAGAGGTTGTGACCATCTGAGCAATCCCAAAAGATCCCGATTGGGAGTGTAGGAGGGCCAGATTTGCCCTTTCTGTGCCTAAGGTTCAACACCCCTGCTATACAGCAAAGCACTGGTGCATTTTACCTTCGATACTGGCTTAGCATTTCTGGGCAGCTTACTTATCTGCCTCAGAGCCGTTTTATACAGTGCTGCCTTTTCTTGCTGTTGCCTCTGCCTCTCTGTCTGTCAATGAATGCAGTTTCTTAACTCCAAAGTTAGAGAAGGAGCACAGCACCAGCATGGTGTCTCTACATGGATCACACTGTGCTTGCTATGACATGCTTTTCTCCACCTGCCCTCCTGGTTCGAAGTCTGTGTAGGCCTCCTCATGAAAATGCATTGCTCTTTCTCCGCCTGTGCTCACTTCCTCTCATGCTAGGTCTGTGAAGGTATAGTTGTTGAACTTGTTTGGATAGCGAGATATTGAGTAAATGTTCCCCAAGGCTAATGTTCTTGACACATAGTTTGAGGTAGCTTGCAGACTTCATCTAAGAAATTGAAGATGGGCTGATAGTAGGGTAAAAATGTATGCCCCCGTGAGAGTTGAGTGAGAGGATTTGTAATTCTGCTATGTCCCCCAGGGCACTACTTATCTGCTCAAGCTGTATGATGACAAAAAATGTGTTCTAGTATCTATACGTTAGGGCCTCAGTAGTTTAACAGTATAGTCATGTTGTGAAACATGTTACTTATATAGTAATTGAACTGTTTGCTTAAATTTATTTTTGAGGAAAAAATAGCATTTTTTTTTTAAACGAACCAAACTTGTAAGGAAATGGTGGGGAGAGGAAGACAACATATTCTTAACCTACATTTGCAAATCTTCTATTTGATTTATGTCTCTGGGTTTTTGAAAAGAAAAATCAACTTATAGTTGGTGCATTTTCAAAAAACTAAAACAGCCATAAGTTACTCCCATTATCAGATTTCTGAAACAGGTCCATGAACTTTGTTCAATGACTTAGTATTCTGGTTTCACTTTTCTTGTTTCAGAAAAAATATTCCAGTCAGGAAAAAGAAAATATCCCAGCTTTCTTGGATAAAATCATTAGCAGTTAACCACATGTCCCTACGGAGAGATCCAGTAGGCCATACATAATTCTTCAAGTGATTTCACCTAAGTAAGGACTGGCTGTGACTGACAGTATTTGGTTCGAAGTAGAAACTGAAGTTATGAAGCTTTCAAAATGTTCTATATAGAGTCCAAGCAGAAAAAAAAAGAAGAAGAAAGGAAAAAAGCAGTTTGTAGAATAGGGATATACTGTATTTTAAATATTCATATGGAACCTGCTTAGAAGTATTACTACAGTAAACAGGCTAAATATTAATAAAAATTAAATATAAACAAAATATGACAGACTAGGTGTTACTGCTTTCAGGAGTGTAAGGCTGCAATCTTATTACTGAGTTCAGTAGTTTGAAAATGTCAGGCAAGCCTATTTGTCAAAAGAAAAAAAATATCATATGTCTGTTCATTGGTAAAATAGTTTATGTCCTATATCCAATGCAGAGGGAGTGAACCCAGCTTGTGCAAGGCATGGGCTTAATCATAGCTAATCCTGTGTTGGATGCATAAAAGAATGCTTAAAATTTCAGATGAGTTAATAGTTTAAAAAACATAACTGAAGTCACCTTTTGCCTCTACAGAGCAAAAGCCTTACACCTGCAGTTAATATTAGCTGTGTCTGGATTAAACTCAGA